CGGGCCTCCGCTGCGGTCCCTGGCAGGCGGGAGCCGGAGCTGCGGCGGAGCGCGACCCCCCTCCCCGGCCGCCCTGTCCACCTTGCCGGGGAAGGCGGAAGATGCCAGTGAAGAAGAAAAGAAAAGCCCCCGGAGTGGCAGCGGCGGTCGCGGAAGACGCAGGCCTCAAAAAGTGTAAAATCTCCAGGTACCTCGTGCCCCACCCCGCAGGATCTCCTTCCTCCGGTGCGGGACAGGCCGCCGGGCGCCTGCTATGGCGAGGGGGCGAGCCCTCTCCTCGGCGGGACGGTGGGTGCGGAGCCCCGAGTCTCCACTCCGCGCGGGACCAAACCTCGTGTTGGCCCGTGCGTGTGCTCTGGCGTACTTGGATGAGCTCTGGGGTTTGCCCCACATTGTTGTCTGCGTGCCCAGAGGGTAGGAAACAGACAACCATACGTCAATCGTGCTCTTTCTCCCTGCCTTCTACCTTCGTCCTGTCCACCAAACGCGGAGTGCAGATCTGCTGAGATTCACAGCGTCCCCGGGGTTCACTATATCAAGAAGAATTAGCTTGGCCCACACATTGTTAATGTCAGAGTGTGAAGAAAGGAGCAGAGCATGAAAAATTTTGACAGCTGCCTCGGGAATGGTAGAAAGGAAGCCTGTGCTATAATTGGTCTGCTGAGTTAGCATTTCAAGTGGCCTAACCTGGACCACCTCAGCAGGAAGAGGCCTTTGAAGTCCCTAGAGCCTCGGCTTCTGAAGGCAGCATGCCTCCACTCCACCCGTGCTCTCCTTACACAGGGTTGGTAAAGCTTGGCGTGCTTTTTCTGTTTTAGCCTTCAGCCGCAGTTAGCTCTTCAGTCAGTTTTAATCACTTGTAAGCTATGGTGTTCTGTGTTCTCTTAGAGAAAAAGAAAACAAAGCAGACTTGTAGTCAGAGCCTTTGCTCCCCTTGTGGCATACACATCATTCAGTCATGGCAAAAGCATTCCTGCTGCGGAAAGTCATTGCAGTTCAGCTCCCAACTTATTCTTTGGGCTGTCTTTGTGATAATGGTTGCCACTTAAAATGCCAACACTAAATAAAACAAATACCTCTTTAAAGAGAGATGCAGTGAGAAACATTGCTTAAAATAGGAGAAAGGTGGCTTGTTTAATCCGCATGTTTTTGTAGTCATTTGTTTTGTTTTGTTTAATCTTGGTGTATTTTAGTGAAATAACCTAAGTAATAGTTCTTGGGTGATTAATGTGATACAGTTTTCTTTGATAGTTATCATTCTGCTTGACCTTTATTAGCTGTTTTTGAGAATCATACCTAAGATATTTAAGCCAGTTAAAACAGCTGAAGGGCAGTATCATTGGATTTTAGGTGTTTCATCCTAAGCTATAATGTAGAGTTTCCATACAAATGAGTAGCAGAATCCCAGTAAGAATTTTTGGCATTCAGTCAGGTATATAGCTTAGTGGTAGAGAACAAACCCAGCAGTGTGAGTAAAGCCCTCAGTACAGAGACAAAAAGAGGGATATTTATACTTTCTTTTCTAGTCTTGGGCTGAGACTTAGGCTACACTTCTTTATAATATTGAAATAGGGAAATAATTTTAATCACTGCTCTTGGAATTTGGTAGCAAGCAAAGTGGCATTGGGGTTTTCATTGATCAGAGATTCTTATGCATAGAGTACAGGTCCATATTGCTACTGCCTAACTTCTTCCCCATGATGCTAACTTAAAACTACTTTGTTTCATTTGCATGGAAGCAATTGTTGAATTTAGTTTTTCAGTAAGATTTGAGTCTTAGTAGGTTCTAGACATCTTTGTGTTTTCTAAGCTATTGCAGATCCCAGCCTCCTGCTAGAATAATCAGTGGAGAGGAAGATTTTTCAAGAAAGAAGTGCCTGGCTTGGTTTTATGAGTATGCAGGTAATGAAATCCATGGATCAAGACACCAGTCATATGCATTTAAAATCTGTGTTTTATTCTTTAAACATTATTTAGTGCAGGCCTGTTAGATTTTAGTACTGTGTGCTGGGATTAGGGTCAAGGCTAAAGGGTTATAAATTGATTGAAGAATTTGGTACCATTCCAAGACTGGTATTTCTTTACATCTGTATTCTGTAAGAGAGGAGGAACTCATTTATAGTTTGTGAGTAAATAGAAACAGTTACATTAAATGCATTCATAAAATATTCAGGGAAAGAAGTAGGCAAAACATTTTAATTTGTTTGTTTGATTTTTTTTTTGAGACAGTTTCCCTGTAGTCCTGACCATCTGGAACTGACTCAGTTATCCCGGATGCCTTCAGACTCCAGAGATCCACTTGCTGTGTTGGGATTAAAGGCATGCACCACCGCACCCAGCTTCCTAAAGCATTTCTATTCACTTTCTAGGAAACAATATGCAAAATATTTTTCTGTTCACCATTCTCTATTTTTTCTGAACTAGAAACATTTTTCTGAAGCTTTTGGGGTGGTGTGACAAACAATTTAAACTTCAGAGATAATGTATAACACATTTACTCTTTAATTTTAATTTTACAGCAAATACAATAATAAGAAAACAGAGTGATAGTACTACGGTATGTTAAGTAGTAGATCATGAAGATACATGATAATTGACAAGATACAAAACCCAACCTTGAGAGCATCAGAAGAACCTATTTGGAGGAGCATACTAACCTTACCTGGGTTTGACAAATGGTTGATGGGAAGATCTAGGTCCATAGTGAAGCAAACCCATGAACAAGAATACTTGCTTCCCTTGCTGGGTGTGGTAGCACAAGCCTTTAATCTCAGCACTCAAAGGCAGGTGGATCTCAGTGAGTTGGAGGCCAGCCTGGTCTACAAAGAGTTCCAGGACAGCAAAGGCTGTTACACAGAAAAACCCTGTTTTGAAAACAAAGAAACAAACAAAAAACTTGTTTTGCACTTGTTGTTAATTTCTTCAGAGCATATATGACAGTTTTTCCCTGATATTAAAGTTATTTTTTCTCGTTCCTGTCTGTTAGCTACGTTTCTGCTTTTATTTTTTTGTCATTATTTTCAAAAGTATTTGCTTAAAGTCAAGATGCTTAGTAGTTATTGCCTTCTATTTGTACTGCCATGTTAAAGTGTAGCTGCTTAGTTTACAGAGTTACTGTATGGATAGCTAGACTAGTCTGAAAAGGGGGCAGCATCTTTGTTATTGGGATCAGCAGAGTGATCCTAATTGTATAATTTAAAATTGTTTAATAGCAGAATAGAATCTTTCTAGATCAGGGGAAATAAATGCTATTACTGGTATCCCAAGACAACCACTAACCCAATTTAAATGTAGAGAATTCATTTATTTTAACTGACCTCTATTTAAAATGTTGACCCATTATTTAAATGCCAGTTTCACATATACATTATATAGAATCAAAAGGTTCTCTTCATCTTACTTCACTTACAAGGTTACTAGATGCCATAAAGATTAATTAGCGTGTATGTATCTTTTCTTTTCTTTCTTTTTTCTTTTCTTTTTGAATGCTAGCTTTTAGCTCTTATTGAAACTTAACCTGGGTATTCTAAGATTTTAATCAAGTATTTGTTTTTTATTCTGACATATTTATTAGCCAACATAATAATTCCTATCATTGTTGTAGGGATTGTGATAAATACATTGTTTTTCTTATAACCATCTGTCAAGTAAGAGATTTTGTCCTTATTTTATAAATGAAAACTGAAGCAAGCTTAGATTAACTTGCCAGTGATGATACAGTCCAAGAACCAGGATTCAAACTATAGTTGGCTGACCCTCAAGACAGAGTTATGCAGATGGCAACTAATTTTTACTTCTAGTGAAAAAAAGTTAGTAAAGTATACTTGAGGTATCTTCTGTCATTCAACGAGTCATCCGGTGAATATTCATTCAACATTTTCTGTGAGTTCAACACTGTGATAGTACTTGTGTACTTGTGATATAATAATGAAAAAATCAGGACGTGATCTCTGCTATCAAATGTAGCTTCTCATGAGGAAGACCATAGTAAACAGTAAGCTTATAGGTGAGGAAATTACAACTTGTGAAGGCTCATACAAGTATTATGTGGAAGTACTAGAATTTCAGATAGTGTCCACAGAAACTATTTTGGCAGATGCTTCCTTGATAAGGAATCAGTTATTTGCTGGTGAACAGTACATGTTCTTTCTTACCAAATGGGGATATCCTTTATGGTAGAGACAAAAGCTAGGCCCACTCAAGAGTGGATGACATGCAGAGTCTTAGCATAGTACCTGATACATGTCAGAGCTCAGTGTGTTAGGTAGTATTACTGCTAACAACTTTAGAGTATCTTCAGATACATGTGTTAACTAATCTCTTGTCCAGTTCATTGTGAAGGTACTGTCACTAAACATGTTGTTTGTTTTGGTTTTTGTTTCCTGAGTATTTATTATGGCATTGTATTAAACCCTGAACATGTAGCTGAGAACATTTATATTTTTACATAAAATGAGGCGGTGTTTTCATGTACCCTCTTAGAGACTTGTGATCATGTGTAGGTTCCTTACATTCTCTGTAGATGCTATGTAGAATTTGAGTAGTGAGTAGAGGAGAAAAGCCCCGTGTGTGTTCAGTACAGAGGAATTCTTTATCTTCTTACCTTTTAGACAGGGCTCACTATGTAGTGCTCACTGGCCTGGAACTTGCTATGTAGACCACATTGCCTTTTTGTTGCTGGTGGTTTTGCAAGACAGGAATTCTCTGTGCATCCCTGGGCGTACTGAAATTCACTCTGTAGACCAGGCTGGCTTCAGACCTGCAGAGATCTGCCTGTCTCTGCCTCCCTAGTGTTGGGACTAATGGCGTGTGTCACCACGCCTAACTATCTCGAGATCTTTTTATGAGCAATTTGTTGAATTTATGGATATGCAGTTTAGTAAATAGAAAGCCAATTGTATACTAGCCATCTGTGGGGAAAACAGCATTTTTTAATCTGTCACAAGGAATTAAAAAATAAGATAGAATTACATAGTTTAAATGCAATATACAGTGAGCTAAATCATTTGCATGACTGCTTGATTGAGTGGAAATCAAAGAACTTGAAAGAATTAATTGAATTCACTTACACACATCTTACCCAGTTGTAGTTTTATTAGAAGGCTGTAGTTTAATGATGCCGCAGGGCGATTGGTAATGAAAAATCCCCAGACTATCTTAATACAAAATATACAGCTTTAATAAACAGAAGTAAGACTTACAACAGCTTACACCAGAATTCAAACGATCCGTCCAGGCGCAGGAGCCAGGCAAAAAAGAGAGCTAGCGGAGCGCTTGCTAGGTTTATAGGCAGGCTTTAGCCTGAGGGTGGCACGCCCCAAAAACAGAATGTGACTGGCTGAACTCCCCTATCATATTAAAAGTATTATTGACATTCAGTCAGGCAGTGAACTTTGGTATAGGCTTTGCTTTACACTTAGGTCTATTATTTCCATTGCTTTGGGAAGTCACATAATACTTAACACATTGTAGATCTTGTCTACCTAAGATGATATGTATGTTTTATGTAGAACCTACTTTGATTTCTAATTGCGTGTTAACTTAACCTTTTTTTAAGATTTATTTATTTATTTTGTGTACTGTGTTCTGCCTGCATGTTATGCCTACAAGCCAGAAGAGGACACCCTATCTCTTTACAGATGGGAGTGAGCCACCATGTGGTTCCTGGGAATTGAACTCAAGACCTCTGGAAGAGCAGCGAGTGTGCTCTTACTTGCTGAGCCATCTCTCTAGCCCAACATAACCTTATTGATCACATAGTAGAAGGCTATATTTTTTATTAAGAAAATCATAATGCATTGGCTTTTGTGTTGTGTCTGTAACCTAATTATAGTACTATGAAACATACCTTCTAAAATTCATTCAGTCTATGACTTAAGTTTGGAGGGTTTTGTATTGAACCAGGGTCCTATGTAGCCCAGACTAGCCTTGAACACTTAATCTTCCTGCTTCTACTTCCTAAGTGCTGGGATTATAAATTCATGTCACCTTGACTAGCTAAAGCTGGAGTATTTTCTGGTAGTTGAAGAAAGGAAAGTTAAAATGTACAAGGAGGACACAGTCTCAAGAAGAAACCTGCATGAGCTCTGTCATTTTCAGAATCTAGAAAATATGTATATTTGTAAACAAATGGACTTGTAGAGACAGCAACATGTAGAAAAGAGTGAGAAAGGCTGAACTTAGGGGGACGAGAAGAATGAGTTACTGATAGAGGATATAAACAAAATTAATTGTTTTTCTAGCTCTAACTCATGCTAAAATGAAAAATTGAATCCTTGCTAAAATCCATGGTATAATGATTTTCATTTTATCCGTGCATAAAAATTCATCCACCAAATATTGAAAGTATAAAATCCAGTGTGCACCTTTCAGTGGCTTTCCAACCAAGTTCACTTAGGTGTGTAGGCGTCAGCCGGGCTCCTGCTGGTGACTGTCGTTTTTATTTACAGGGTCTTTTTATGTATATAGTAAGGAAAATAGAAGTTTCTTTTGGTTAATGTAACATTGATTCAAGACATTTTTGTAGTGATAAATTTATGTCATATTTCAAATCATAACATTTGAATGTTATGTTTTAGGTCATTTCTAGGCACAGAAGAATTAGCAGTGATACAGTTCCTTTATTTTGGGAATCTTCTAATAAAAAAAATTCAAGAATTGCTTTTTTTTTTTAAGTGATCTAGTTTAAAATGAGAAACAAAAAAGATAATTCAAATTCCACATGCTTTATAGCCTTACATTGTCAAAAGTTTTATTCAGAATAAATTTTTAGTACTGTTTTTTTTAAAAATGAGTGAGTTCATGTTGGTTTGTTTTATTCTTTTTGTGAAATACTGATTTATAATAGTGGAATATTTCTTTACTGCTCCTTTAAATAATGTCCTTAACTCACTGGGCCTGATAGCTCACATCTTTAATCCCATCATTCAGAGGGAGAAGTGGGTGAATTTCTGTGAATGCCAGACCAGCCTGGGCTACATAATGAGACCTAAACTAAGAAAAGGAAGAGAGTCCTTGATTCATATTGTACTATATTTAAGGAATAAAATTTCTAAGTATTCTCTTCAGAGCTATGCTAAAATTTAAATTCACTTATTTATATAAAAAGTATTAAGAGATTTTCACAGATGTTTTTAGTGTAATAGTTTAAGTCATGTACATAATAAAGTATAATAAAGTGTATGAATTATTTTTGTCTTTGAAGGTCCTGATGAAGTTGTAGGGCCAGAAGGAATGGAAAAATTTTGTGAAGACATTGGTGTTGAACCTGAAAATGTATGTTTTATTTCTAAGTAAAATGAAACTTAAACAGATTATAATGTTTTCATAAATTTATAAAAATTGAGGCTTTAATATATGGAAGATATTTTTTCTTCATGAGTAATATTGTAAATTCACACTAGGGTTTTTTAATCACCCTAAGTTGAGTGAGCGCCAGCATTCCTGAACACTGCCTCAATGCTGGCACCTTTCAGCCGCTTGGTAGCTGACACTCAGCAGCTGTAGTGTCTCGTAGTGGGCGACTGGAAATGTTTGTTTAAGAATGTTCTCCATGAGGAGTGCAGCCATGGTCATCTCTGACTTCTCCTGTCCTTTATGTTCTCTTCCTTACAGATTATTATGTTAGTTTTAGCGTGGAAGTTGGAGGCTGAAAGCATGGGATTTTTTACCAAGGAAGAATGGTTAAAGGGAATGACCTCATTACAGTAAGAATATTTTCTGAAAAGCAAATTTGGTGGCCTATTTAAAGATCTCTTTGATATTTTGTGCTTCATCTTTTTCAGGAATAAGATTTTGCTTTAAAGTAATCAAATTGTTTTGATTAGTAAAAATCAGAATGGGGACTAGCAAAATTATATTCTGACCCATGAGTAATTTTCGTACACTTTAAGAAAACACTCAGGCTAATTGAGACATGTTGAGTTCATTAGAAACGGTCTGTGAGTTAGGTGTTCATAGGGTTATTTGAGTAACAAAAGTTTTTCCCCACTATACACTCCACTCTACGAATTTCATCACTGGACAATCCTAAACCCTGGGCCTCCTCACTCCCTTTTGTAATAAGTTTAGAAAGTTACACGGTGCTTTGGTGCACTGCTTCCTCCTATTACCTTTCACAGGATCAAAGTAGAAATGGTTTTTGGCTCCTGTGTAGTCTTGAGCCATTTGTAGTTATGTATGTTCAGATGGAGATGTCATGCTGAAATATTTTCATAAATTTCAGAATTACTTCATTATTCAGATAATTCACTCTGCCTTTTCAGAGTAGAGTATTTCATTTCAATTCAATTAGGAATTTTGTGGTAATTTTCTATTATGTCATATTCATAATGTTCCATCAGAATGTTATTCAACATTCTAAAATAGTTTCATATTTTAAAATGTTACTTTATTTGTTTTTCATTGCTTGGGATTGAACCCAGGACTTTATACATGCTAACCCAGTACTCCACCACAGAGCCACATCCCTAACCACACTTAAATTTTTCAGGCAGACACTGCATTATTAGGCCTAGAGTTTTCTTTGTTGTCTATGGTTTTCTTAGTCTATGTAAACTATTCTTAATTCTTATTTATCTATTCCTCAGTTTTTTGTTTGTTTTGTTTTGTCCCCCCGTCCCCCCCAAGACAGGGTTTCTCTGTAGCTTTGGAGCCTGTCCTGGAACTAGCTCTGTAGACCAGGCTGGCCTTGAACTCCGCCTGCTCGAGTGCTGGGATTAAAGGCATGCACCACCTCCACCCGGCTTGTCCCTCAGTTCTTAAGAAATTATGTCTGTTTGCTTACAAGGCAGTCACATTTATGTATTTGAATTTTCAGTATCTTGTTATCTTCTCTTTTTAACCATTTTTTAAAATGTCTTTTTCATGTGTGTTTTAAACATAATGTTAACTGTGTGTGTGTGTGTGTGTGTGTGTGTGAACATGGACATGTGTACTCAGGAATATGTCCTATCATTGTGTAACTGTAATAGATTTGTTGGAAAGAGTAGGGTAGGTGGGAGTGTGACTGTTCAGTATGTACTATGTAGGTAGATAGATACATACAACATAGATGTGTATACACACACACACACACATTTATTCCTTGGGTAAAAACCTCTTCTCAGTTGCTGGATGAGGATTCTATGGTGATATTTAAGATATTTATCAGTTTGACTGCAGGGCAAGTCAAGATCAAGCCCCCTCTCGTCTGTTGCTTAGGGTCTTAGCTGGGGTCATCCTTGTGGATTCCTGAAAATTTATCTAGAACTACGTTTCTTACTAGCCCCATAATGGCTCCCTCAATCAAGATATCTTTCCTGCTCTCATCTCTGTCCTTCCTCCATCTTGACTATCCCATTTCCTCAAGTTCTCCTCCCTTCTCCCCCCCCCCCCCTTCTACCCTCCCTTCTCCCCGCACCTAATTTTGTCAGGTGATCTTGTCAATTTCTACTTCCAGATTGATTTATATATGTTTTTCTTAGGGTTCACATTGTTACTTAGCTTCTCTAGGGTCATGAACTATAGGCTGAATATTCTTTGTTTATAGCTAGTATCCACTTATGAGTGAGTACATACCATATTCATCTTTTTGGATCTTGGTTACCTCACTCAGGATGGTGTTTTCTAGTTCCATCCATTTGCATGCAAATTTCAAGATGTCATTTTTTTTTTACTGCTGAGTCTAATGTGTAAATGTGCCACATTTTCTTTTTTTTCCTATTAGCTCAATATTCTTTTTTTTTTACATTTTTTTATTGATATTTATTGAGCTCTATATTTTTCTCTGTTCTCCTCCCTGCCTCTCCCCTTCCCCCTTCAGCCCTCTTCCAAGGTCCCCATGCTCCCAATTTTACTCAGGAGATCTTGTCTTTTTCTACTTTCTACTTCCCATGTAGATTAGATCTATGTAAGTCTCTCTTAGTGTCTGCATTGGTCTAAGTTCTCTGGGAGTGTGGTTTGTGGCCTGGTTTTCTTTGCTTTATGTTTAAAAACCACCTATGAGTGAGTACATATGATAATTGACTTTCTGTGTCTGGGTTACCTCTCTCAAAATAATATTTTCTAGCTCCATCTATTCTCCTGGAAAATTCAAGCTGTCGTTATTTTTTTTTCTACTGTGTAGTACTCCATTGTATAAATGTACCACATTTTCCTTATCCATTCTTCAGTCAAGAGGTATTTAGGTTTTTTCCAGGTTCTGGCTATGACAAACAATGCTGCTATGAACATAGTTGAGCACATGTCCTTGTGGCACGATTGAGCATCCTTTGGGTATACACCTAAAAGTGGTATTACTGGGTCTTGAGAAAAGTTGTTTCCTAATTTTCTGAGAAATCACCACACTGACATCCAAAGGGGTTGTACCAGCCTGCATTCCCACCAGCAATGCAGAAGTGTTCCCTTTCCCCCACAACCTCTCCAGCATAAGTTGTCATCAGTGTTTTTGAACTTGGCCATTCTTACAAGTATAAGATGAAATCTCAGAGTGGTTTTTATTTGCATTCCTCTGATGAGTAAGGATGTTGAACATTTCCTTAAGTGTCTTTCAGCCATTTTAGATTCCTCTGTTGCGAGTTCTCTGTTTAGGTCTGTACTCCATTTTTTAAATTGGGTTATGTGATCTTTTGGTGTCCAGTTTCTTGAGTTCTTTGTATTTGATTTTGGAGATCAGACCTCTGTCTGATGTGCCACATTTTCTTTATCCATTCTTTGGTTGAGGGACATCTAGGTTGTTTCCAGGTTCTGGCTATTACAAATAATGCTGCTATGAGCATAGTTGAACAAATGTCCTTGTAGTATGATTGAGCATCTTTTGGGTATATGCCCAAGAGTGGTATTGCTGGATCCTGAGGTAGGTTGATTCCCAATTTTCTGAGAAACTGCCATACTGATTTCCAAAGTGGTTGTATAAGTTTGCATTCTCACCAGCAATGGATGAATGTTAACTTTACTCCATATCCTCTCCAGCAAAAGCTATCACTGTGTTTTTGATCTTAGCAATTCTGACAGGTGTAAGATGGTATCTTAGTTGTTTTAATGTGCATTTCCCTGATGGCTGAGTATGTTAACATTTTTTTAAGTGTCTTTTGGCCGTTTGAGATTTTTCTGTTAAGAATTCTCTGTTTAGTTCTGTACCCCATTTTTAAAATTGGGTTATTTGGAATTTTGATGTCTAATTTCTTGAGTTCTTTATATATTTTGGAGATCAGTTCTTTGTCTGATGTGGGGTTGGTGTAGATCTTTTCCCATTCAGTAGGCTGACTTTTTGTCTTATTGACTGTGTGCTTTGCTTTACAGAAGCTTCTCAGTTTTAAGAGTCTCATTTAAAACTGAGTCTCATTTAAAACACTGTGCTACTGAGGTTATGTTTAGGAAATGCCAATGCATTGAAGACTGCTTCCCACTTTCTCTTCTATCAGGTTCATTGTGGTTGGATTTATAGTGGGGTCTTTAATCCATCTGAACTTGAGTTTTGTGCACGAGGATAGAAATGGATCTATTTTCATTCTCCTACATGTCAACATCTAGTTATGTCAGCACCATTTGTTGAAGATGCTTTCTTTTTTCCATTGTATAATTTTGGCTTCTTTGTCAAAATCAGGTGTTCATAGGTGTATGTGGATTAATATTAGGGTCTTTAATTCAGTTCTATTGGTCAACCTGTCTGTTTTTATGCCTATAGCAGGCTGTTTCCATTACCGTAGCTCTAATAGAGCTTGATGTCAGAGTTGGTGATGTCTCTGGAAGTTCCTTTATTGTACAGGATTGTTTTGACTATCCTGGGTTTTTTGTCTTTCTATATGAAGTTGATTATTGTGAAGAATTGTGTTGGGATTTTGATGGGTATTGTATTGAATCTATAGATTGCTTTTGGTAGGATTGCCATTTTTATTATGTTGGTCCTCCCTATACAAGAACATGGGAGATCGTTCCATTTTCTGGTATCTTCAATTTCTTTAAAGACTTATATATATATGATGGTTTATTTAATGTGCATTGTATGAAGGTGTTAGATCCCGTACAACTGGATCTTTGGTTGGTGGGTGCTGGGAATTGTACCCAGGTCCTTTGGAAGAGCAGTCAGTGCTCTTAACCACTGAGCCATCTCTCCAGCCCCATAAGTTCTTGTCAAATAGGTCTTTCACTTCTTTGGTTAGTGTTACCCCAAGATACTTTATGCCATTTGTGACTATTGTGAAAGGTGATATTTCTCTGATTTCTTTCTCAGCTTGTTTATCATTTATGTAAAGGAGGGCTACTGATTTTTTTTGAGTTGATCTTGTATCCTGCCACATTACTGAAGGTATTTACCAACTGTAGGATTTCCCTGGTAGAGTTTTTGGGGTCAGTTATATATACTATCATATCATCTGCAAATAGCGAAAGTTTGACTTCTTCCTTTCCAATTTGAATATCCTTGATCTCCTTTTGTTGTCTTGTTGCTTTAGTCAGAACTTCAAGAACTGTGTTGAATAGATATGGAGAGAGTGAACAGCCTTGTCTTGTTCCTGATTTTAGTGGAATCACTTTGAGGTTCTCTACATTTAATTTTATGTTGACTGTCAGGTTGTTGTATATTGCTTTTATGTTTAGGTATGTTCCTTGTATCCCTGATCTCTCCAAGACCTTTATCATGAAGGGGCGTTGTATTTTGTCGAATGCTTTTTCAGTATCTAATGAGATGATCATTTTTTTTTTCTTTCAGTTTATTTATATGATGAAT